ATATATATATATATATATATATATATATATATATATATATATATATATATATATATATATATATATATATATATATATATATATATATATATTACTGGATGTGCCAGCTGCACAAGTTGGAACTTGGAATTTTTTTTTAAAGATGATTATTTTCCTCTTTGAAGTAATGTTTACTCTTTCCTTTATAAAAAAAAGAAAAAGAAAAAATAAGATTATTTTAGCTCCATGATGAGATGCATACACAGTTGAAGGTTTCCTTTTTACTTTGAGCTCTTCTTTCGATATCTTGTTTGCTTTTTTAGCTTTGACCTCGATTCCTGTTTCATAAGAAGCTGCAGAGGAAAGAGCCAGATCCCATGAATTATGTAATCATCCTACTTTTTCTATTTCACGGATTGGCTGGATGCAAGTAACGAAAAAAAAAGAAAAAAAATCTGATATGTCCATGAACGCTTTCCGTAGGTAGAAGTCAAATTAAGTTTATAGTTCCCTCTCAAAGGAAGTCAATTTTCTATTTGATTCTCACGCAAACCTTACAGCGTAGCCATGGATGAAGTTGACATTCCCGAGAGAAGCTTTTGGACTAGGCTTTGGTATACCGACCAGTGTCCCTCCTCTGTTATGTGGCTCTCTCTCTCTCACTTCTAAACCTTCATTATATGTGATTGATTTTCTTTCTGTCAATTAATTGTTTCCTTCATGCACAAGTTGGCGGGCACGGCGGGTGATGGTGGTGGAATCAGCTTGTATCGTTTGCACAACCCCCCACGATTTGCATCCACTAGTTTACCTTTTTCGATAAATAAAAAAAAAATGCTTGCACTTGTTTGTTTGTCATAAAGTTATATAGCTAGAAGGAACCTTTTCTTTTTGCCGGTGGCGATGGCGGTGGCGGCAGTGGAATCCGATTGGAACAAGTTGCTTAGACATGGGTTGACGTCAACTGTTGCTCTGTCCATAAATTTTACTTGTTTAATTCTCAAAGGGCTTATTTACACTTGCAAATCCTGTTTTGAATTAAGAGTACTACTAAGAAAAAAAAAAAAAAGGAGAGTATTATTTGAGACACATCCAAAATATTAATATTTTTTTAGAGAAATCGTTCAATTTAAAATATATAAAAGCATAAAATAAAATACATTCATTTCATTTCTTTATTTATAGATTTTAGGTGCTGCGTTGACGGAAACCTCGTGTTCATCCTTGTTAAGTTGTGTAAGAATATACGACGAACATAAATTAAGAAGGGATGACTGCCAAAAGAAACACTTGCTGGTCTGTGTGCAGCTCTGCCCAACTTGTTAGGTTGGTCAACTGCAAGATTCAGAATCCGATGCATGGGCTCACCACGTTGGTAACAACGCAACAGAGACGCAGTTCCTTTTCAACGTATCCGATTTAGGTCATGGCCTCGATCCGATAGAAAGTCCAACGGTGGTCGGCGTCACCTACGGTGAACACGATGCTGCCAACCGTTGTATCTTCGCGGAAGGCCCTTCGAGCGTTTGTCATCTCAAGCAAGGAGGTGCGCGTATATATATGTATATCTATATATATATCTATCTATATCTAGCTGCGGAATGAGTCCTCAGAGCATGCGCCAGAATCCTCCTTCACAGCCCAAAAGCAGGTGAGAGAAGTCCTAACTCTTGTTGATTAAGCTTGCTTGGGTGTTGAAGTTGGTTTGGATATGAATCATTCTTGAATTTATATAGTGATTTCACATTTATGTTGATACCCAGCCACAGTTCCATGACACTAAAAAGTTTTCTGGTTCATATACTTCAGTTTTGTTTCTTTCTTTCAAATATACTTCAGTTTTGTTGAAATTCTAACAATCCCAACTCAGTCAAACTATTCAGAATTAACATTCTTGATTGTTTGTTAGATACAAGTATATTTAATGTTTAGGTTTATCATTAAACTTTAATATGTATTTAGGACATATATATTCCAACCTCTCTTCTCTTTCCATGTATTTGATGGTCCTCCCTTTTCTCTTTTAACTCCTCTACGCAATCCGATCTTGGTTCCAATTCCTCCATCGTATCTCCTCTTTCCCAACTCTGGTAAACAAAATCTCTTCAATGCCCTACATCTTTCACTATAAACTATATATACCTTCTCTCACTCCGAAGGTATAGGCTTGCAAACACAGAGTGATGAGTGGAAATTTGTTTTAACTAAAAAACAGGAGAGAGAGGGAGAGAGAGAGAGAGAGAGAGAGAGAGAGAGAGAGAGAGATTTTACCTCGAAAGATTGCAAGAGAGAGATTTTTACCTCGAAAGATTGCATTGACCCCAGTCCCCTTCACCATAACTCAGCGATCGGAGATTTTAAGGGATAGCTGACTCTTGATGCTAAGGGGAAGGGTTAGAGGGGCCACTACGTTTCACTCATTCTAAATTCAGTTGGGCAAGCAAAACAAATCCAACTTCGATACTTGGAAAGATTCTCTTGCGGCCTTCGCAACAAAATTCCACTAGTGTGCCTAAGGCTGGTGAATGCATCACTGCCTAAATTCTTTTGGCACACTATTTGGCCCGATGACTGTGCTGCTTCATTTCCCAATGCATACTTTTCCTTCGCCGAATCCACATAATGATGTGTGTTCATGTGTGGCTTCATATATATATATATATATATATATATATATATATATATATATATATATATATATATGCTTCTGCTGCTCGCTTGGAAGTGGCAGTACCTACGAAAAGGAGCGCTTCATCATTTCCCCTCCCCATCTGTTCGGCTAACTGTGTATCTTCATTATCACCACGAACTTCTGATTTCCCTTTTGTCTCAGTTTTCTACTTCAATTAAATTTCCTCCTCGTGACTTCGTTTGAAATCCATGTCTCATTCTAAAGATTCTCTTATGTGGGTGCTTCTGTTCTCTTCCACAACCCCATGAAATTTGTGCTCTCATGCTCGCATGTCTTTGTTGGTGTTTTTTATTTTCTCCTCTTATTCTGATCTAGTTATGGGCTTTAACTTTCTTTTCTCTCTGTTGGCTGTTCTACACAGTTGAGTTTGCATGTAAAGAAGATGAATTCATCTGAATCCGTAGGGATTTCTGACCCTTCTCTATTTTCTCAAAATAGGTTCATTTATGTATTTTTGCTAATGTGATTTTACTAGATTATTTCATATGTTCTTCTCTTCATGATAATGAATGGTAAAAAACCTTAATTTAATCCCTATTACTCCTTGTTGACTGCTTCAATTTCACTCTGTTAACCTGTACAAAAAAATCTTGCTTATAAAATATCAGATTAGGATATTATTTACTTTATTATTGGTATTTATATCTCTAATGACTATAACTTCTATTTTAGAGATTAATTTTTCAGATTATGACATAATAAACTATCTTTGTTATGGTGTCCAAACTGATGGTTCTGTTTACTTTTTGGTTTCAAATCATGAACATTAACATACATATTAATGACAATGCAGAATTCCTACAATGTATTGATGCACTTTACATTCTTTTTCTATTTTCAAATTCTTGTAGGTTTCTGTCGGTCTAATGTCCATAAATCAGAAAGTTTGCAATTGTAACTTCTCCGCTGCAGCTGTTTTCTTTTGTATAGCATTATTTATTGGAAGCACATTGATTACAGTCGATGTGAAGGAGGTATGTTTTGTTTTACTAATTAGGCTGTTCTTATTCATCTTTTTCAGAATATGCTAAGAATTGATCATTTGATCGAGAGGGTTGTCATAGAATCATCTCTCTACTCCATTTCAGAAGATTTCCTATGTTGCAAAAATGATTCAGAAACACTCATCTAAATATATTATCTAAACATATACAATTCCTTTGGAAGTAATCTTTTCTGCCTTAGTCACCGGTTAATGGCATTGCCAGTAGAAATCTATTTCCCCGCCTGAGGATATCTTGATTCGTTCCTGATTACTCCTTTTCATCTCTAATAAGCTGTCAAAACAAATATGTAATTCTACTGCATAGAAGATTAGAACACTGAAGAATCAGTATCCTTACCGCCTGCTACACTAACAATTTTTTGCTTCATTTGCAGAAAATAACGGCATGGTTGCCAACTGATTCATCGCAGAAGTTTCAATTTGATTTGAACAATAACACAGCAAACTCGAAGCCCAATGAATCTGACCCATGCTCGGTATTTACTTTCTGTCTTCCATGCTTCTTTCTTGTCATTGCAAAGCTAGTTCAAGATCTCTGCAACATGTTATATCTGAGTAATTTGTTTTAATCATCTTGTGCTTTTGTAAGTAACTTTGTTTATTATCTTATTATCATTGCCTGTATGAGTTTAGAATCAATGCAGACCTTCAGGAATTGAAGCATTGCCTAAAGGAATGGTTTCCCAAACATCAGACTTGGAAAGACAGCCATTATGGGGTTCTATAGAGAAAAAGGTGGTTTGATTTTTCTCATGATTCATTTACAATTTAGACTATTATAATCATTAAGATGTTACTCATAGTTACCACCCGTAAGGTAATATAATTTCCTGATTGCTTGTTTATGTGAATGCAATTTGTGTTATAACCTTCCTTCTACAAACTTTAGGGGCTTATAGCCTTTCTCTAATCTTAGTTAATTCCAGGGAAATTCAAGTTCGTTCAAGAACTTATTAGCAATTGCAGTTGGACTAAAGCAGAAACAAGTTGTCAATGAAATTGTCAAGAAGGTATATAGATGTGACTTACTTTAAACTGTATTCATTTTGAAGCATGGTCTGAACAAAACACTTGCAGATAGTCAATTGTTTTCTAATTCTTTTGTGCATTATATCCAGTTCCTTTTCAGTAATTTTACCATAATTCTTTTCCACTATGATGGGGTGGTTGATGAATGGAGCGACTTAGAATGGAGTGACACTGTCTTGCATATCTCTGCAATCAATCAAACAAAATGGTAAATTCAGAAAATGCACATTCCTTGTCTCAAAGTGTAACTGGGATTCTATTCTTGAGATAAAATTATAAGAAGTATGTGCATGTGTTGCAGGTGGTTTGCGAAACGTTTCTTACATCCAGATATAGTCGCCTTGTACAGTTATATCTTTCTCTGGGACGAGGATATTGGAGTTGAAAATTTTCATCCTGGAAGGTTGTTAGTTCATTTTTCTTTCCGTGTTAAAATTGAATATGCAAGATATGCTTCCAGATCTAAGCAACCAAGCTATGAGAATGCCTTTGTTTTTGTATTTATATTTCGTTTTCCATCCATAATCTGACTGTTCACCTCATTTTAATATCAAATTTAGTCTTGCCTTTGTTTATATATATATATATATATATATAAAGGGATGCTAAAAGCTATACATCTTCTTGCCTCTATAATAATAGTATAAATATTTGGGTCTAGTGTTCTTTTAAGTAACAAATCTAATAGTTGCAGATACCTGGAGATTGTTGAAAGGGAAGGATTAGATGTATCACAACCTGGACTTGATACTGAGAAGTCAAAAGTTCACTACCGATTTACAGAACGTCAAAGAGAAGGTGATGTACACAGGTATTTTCTTGTCTATTCAATGAAAGCACTTATTTATGTTTCTCTTTATTTCATTTCATATAGTCTTTTTCATGGAGGTACACTGTGTGACCAAGTCCCAATTCTATTGGTATTGGTAATCTTTTGTATAAAATTAATTTGTTCTTTCAACAGAAGGATTTATGATTTGGCACAAGGCTTGAGATGTAATGAGAACAGTACTGGTTTTCCATGCGCTGGGTGAGTGACCCTTTCAAAACTTGCTATCCTATCCATGTATCGATATACTGATCTTAATGTAGAAATATTTCTCTCTTTTCTCTGAAAATAATTGTTTTTTAATAAGTTATATGAAAATTTACAGTCAGATGCCACCTTTTTACCATCTCTAAGATTTGATGACTCATTTGTATAGTTTCCACTGCCGTTTGGGTGCTTGATCAGATTATATGGAATGTTCATAAATAATGGCAACTATCATTCTCCAGAAACAATGTATAGTTATTAGAGTAACAACCTTGATAATATAGGAGTGAATGGATCTCTAGGGAACACTCATCTCGATGTGCATTAAGTAATCTCAAGAAAACACTCATCGACACAGACGTTGTCAAAGATTCCCAAAGAACCTGATATTTTCTTTTGGTTTACTACTTTGAAACATTGCATTCGTCATTAAACTTGAAAGAATAGGGTCTCATCCATGTGGATGAAAATGCTTGAGCCATATTTACTATTGCAGGTCTTTCAAGGAAAATAAAATCCAACATCATCTTGAACTTCTGTAAATATACAAGCTTAAGATGATCTTAAGTTTTGTTTAAATATTTCATCCAAGTCTTAAGCAAATGCACTTCTGTAATCCTATAAATTAGTGGATCTGACCATAGTTTTTGAGATTGTTATTGCTCATGGTGCTGTAATTAAGATTGCAAATCCTAGTTTATGATCCTGTTGTGTCAGATCACAAGTGACCAATATTGTCAAGATTATTTGTGAAGCAAGAGGAAGTGAGGGAATGGCAGACACTGAATGGCTTCATACAACTAAATAAAAGAGAAGAGAAGTGAGGTTATCATAGAAAGTGAAACTAAATCTTAGATAGTAATGGTAAATTAATTTTTTTAGCACTTTTTTAACCAATTAACAACTAGTCTTTATTCCCTCTTTAACCATATATCCACTGTCACTAAATAACATCCCAAAGCTGCTTAGATTGCAGGGGTTATTCTCAAATGGTTAATCCAATAGTTAGACAAACTGTATGTACATTTCAAGGGATACTATGTCCAGAAAAATTAATTAAATTTAGATACCTTTGCAGCATATCAAAAGAAATGTAGCTAGGGTTCGTATGGTTCGTTTTATATGGGCTTTAGGAATTTTTTGAGCCAAACTTAATCGAATAAAATCTGTTGTCAAAAATACCAAAACGAACTAAAGCAAATAAAAACAAAGCTTGAACTCAAATTGGTTGGTCCGATTTGTTTCTAATCTTTATCTATATTGTGTTACAATTATTTGGCCATAATTGTAAAGTGCATAAATTTTTAAATACATCGAGTTCATGAGGATAAAAATTGTCCTATTTGTTTGTATATTAATCTGGTTGCACAACATCATCTACTACAGTTATATTGTTGTAATATATGGATTTATGCTCTTGTAAAGATATGTATTTGGTGTACCATTTCTTTGTTTATTTTTATATTTGGATTGTTCTTTAAATTGCAAACTGAGTGAAACTGAGACTTATTTGATCATTTGTTTTTCACAGAATTGAGCTAATTAATCTAATAAAAATCCATAAGATAGGACCGGATGTCCTGGTTTGGTTCATTTGCATACTACCCTTAACTGTAGTATGTCTTTACCTTCATAAAATGACAAAAAATTGTAGTGCAATTCAGGTAAGTATAATTGTGAGCTTGTTGCACTTAAACCTGCATGCATGGAATCTTTTATAGAGTTTTGACGTCTAAATAGGTATTTTATTTTAAAAAAGAAAAAAATAAACTAGATTCTGAGCTTTTTTGTTTTTTTTTTGCTTTCAGTTTCCACTTTCTTTCATAGCCCTTTAGCAACACCTGCTTATTTAAGCAGTATAATTAGTAGCTTTTTCCCTGAAGAAAATCTAATTTCTTTTCCACATTAAACTTGTTTACATGTAGGTTTGTGGAAATGATGGCTCCTGTTTTCACATGGTCTGCATGGAGATGTGCATGGCATATGATTCAAGTCTGTCAACTATGCCTAATTTTCACATATTCATCCAAATTAATAAAGTTTTGAAGCATGCATATCAATGCATTCCTATCATATGAAAATGTAGTCATATTTATCTTTATCTGCTGCACCTGTCTGCAGAACGACTTGATTCATGCGTGGGGTTTAGATATGAAACTTGGTTACTGTTCTCAGGTAGCATTTTCATACCAGGTATTGCCGGTTAATATATTTTGAAAAGATGACATCTAATAATATTGTTCCTTATTAGGGAGATCGGACCAAAAAGGTTGGCGTGGTAGATAGTGAATACATCACACATATGGGGATTCCGACTCTTGGTGGATCCAATGTAAGAAAGGCAAGTCAGTAGAACAAATATACACTGTTTTTACATTTCTGATGCTATCTACCTCGTTGTTTGTATCTTTGATCATGGTTCAATTCGAATAGAAATCAAATCGAATTGGAATTACTTGACAAAAGGTTTTGTTGTTAGTCAATAGTTTGAAATTGCCTTAAACCTAGTAGTACATTGATGTGGATCGCTTGTCTAGGTGGTCAAGCTACAGAAAGCGATATTTGTTCATTTCTTGTGTAGGGCTTCTTGGTTTGTTCATCAATCTGACTGATGTTGTGCACTTGCAGGACTCAAATGGATCATCTACCACAAATCTCAGAGCTGCAGTATGTATCATAATTTGCTTATAATTGCTTTCTGATCTGTTGCGTTTCTTCTGCACTGGACTGAGCTGTCTTGTGCAGGTGGTAGACCGGTGCTATGCTGAACTGGACATGTTTAACAAGAGATGGCAAGATGCTGCACAAAAAGATAAATGCTGGACTGACCGATACCCTGAAGCCTGAAAGACCATGTCGCTCCACCGTCCTTTCAACTCCACCACCATCAGAATCCCAAGTGCAGTGGGAAGTCTTTGAATAAGGAAGCAGAGGATATCACTCACCTACCATCCACCACTAATTGTACATGAAGACTTGCTAGCGCTACCGAGATCACTTTTTGAGGCTATTTTAGGTGAGTCTCGCATTTGTAAGTCAAGACGATTGGCTCTTTCGCAAAGATCATTATTTTAGGCAATCCTATTTAATTTTGCATGCGTGCAATGAGTTTTTCCTCTTTTTTTTTTTTCCGGACTATAATTTCCCAGAAAATTTTCTGTAGGAATGCTCTATGTTCCTCCATATGCTTTCGGCTTTGATACCAATGGAAGCCGTGGTTTTCATGTGCTGATTAAGAGACAACAGAAAGGATCCTTAGCGATTCGACGTTGTTTACTAGTGCTTTAGTTGGCAACGTAGGCCTCGCTTAGACAACCAATGGGGAAGGCCATCTTCTTCGGTCGGTGGCTTTGCCGATATGACTTTTATTTTTTTTTATTTGCGTTGAAATACAATAGGTTTTGTCATGTATGGTCGAATAATCCAATGTTACACATCTGTATAATCCAATGTTACACATCTGTGACTAGCTCTTCTAAATGGACATGTATCCAGATCTTGTTTAGAGACCGTGCAAGCCGAGGCTTTCAACTTTGCACAAGCTTCTCTACCGTAACACTGCTGGAGTCGTGTGCCATGTATTGACAGTGTAGGTAAAGATTTATAGATTTTACTCACTGATTTTTTTTAAAGTAAAATTATATTAACTAAAATATAGAAATACAAAAAGAATTATATGATCAGAGATACAAAAAAAGGAATCAAAATCCTAAAAGAAAATATATTATATATCTTCAATCAAGATTCTTATTGCCCAAGGAGTGAGAATCATCTTGACTCTATAGGATCCACACCAATATCTTTAACTATGATTCAACATGAATCATCTTGACTCTATCTTAAGCAATAATTCATAAATCATCTTTGATAGTATTTGTCTCCTAATAGAGAGAATGCACCCTTTTCCAACACACCTATACCCACCCAGTAAAAAGGAGTTCACGAGTATCATTTATTAATATAAATCCTACTCCATAATCTCTATCCTTAATAGAACTATCAAAATTGAGTTTTACTCATCGAGGCCTCCTCTAAGATACTTTTATGCTCTTGAGTTGATCATGTCATAATATTTGATTAATGTAATAATTTTATAAAAAAATATCATACATAAAACTAATCATACACTTAAAAGAAAAACTCTCTTTTAAGTGTATGATTAGTTTGATCATTTGAAGACATTATAATACATCATTGTAAAAGCGAGTATTTTGATCATTTGAAAAAAAACATATAATCTCAGTGGACATGATGAAAAATGAATGGCTTCCTTCATCTTGGGAGACTCCCGAGATATGTGAGACTTTCTGGAGATGCCAGCCTTTATTTTTTTAATATTATTTTATTTAGTAATGTCGAACGATACAGACGAGTGGACCAACATGTTGGCTGCTCGTGAATCACGTCGCCACCGTCCCATCCCAAGGAGAGGAGCTTCACAATCCCTGGACGCCCGGGTTCCACGGGCGAACCCGCCGCGAGGCCGCTGTGGCTCCCGCTCGGACCCCTGCCGCAGCTGCTATGGTCTCCTTTGCAAATCTCATCCTCCGCAACTCCTCGCCGCAAGCCAGCTATCAGATCCAACGGCAGCAGATCAGTTTCGAGTACTTGAACCCACTCGCTCGACATCTGACTTCCCTTGCAAGATGGTTCTTTCGAGGCTCCCCTTTTAGCCAATCCCCATGAAGCGTAGCACCTCTGTTCCATCATTTCCTTCTCTCTCCCATTGTGGTTCCCATTGACCCTCTCCCTCTTCCCTCTTCCCTCTTCCCTCTTCTCTCTCTCAAACGCATCGAAGAAGTAAAACCAAATCGAATAAGGAGTAGTATTTGTGAGGAAATATTGGGCTTCTCCTTCTTGCATCCACGAGGTACGAGAATACCATTTGTAATGTTTACTTGCCAACTCCTGTTTCTGATACGTAAATTTGCAGGTAGATTAGCCGGTTTATGAGACCAAGAAAGACCTCTGTTCGAGTAACCATAGAATTTCTATTCAGAGAATCATATAGTTGTCGATCGTATTTAACTATCGTTGGATTTTTCAGATCCCTGATCTCATAGAGTTTTTTTCTGACACCAATGCGAGGCATCAACTTCTTTAAATAATCATGGTGAGCATATCAGTGGATTTTCGTACCACTCATTGCATCGTTTCGTCGTATATTTGTGTTCGAATTTTTCGGTCTTTTAAAAATACAATTGATTCTTGTTGTCACGTTTACATTGGAACTCCTTGATGAATAAGGAAAAAGATTGAGTCGTATACCACCATTGAAATATTCCTACTGATACATTCTTTTTAGGAGCTAATTTGATTCAGGTTCAGTTTGACTAAAATTTTCTTCTTTAATTTTACATATCAGGCTTGCTATCTCAATTATTATTATTATTATTGTTATTATTATTATTATTATATATATATATATATATATATAACCAGATGAGTACAGACAATATATATACATATATTCCTGAGAGTGTGCATTCTGTCGCTTCATTTGCCACTTTTGCAGCTTTGAACTCAAGTATGCATTAATTTGAGATATGTATTATAACTTACGCTTTCAAGTAGAGAGAATTGGAGTACAGTGCAACAAGAGGTCAGAGAGCTAAGCAAGACATTTGATGGACTGTGTGCATGGGGATGCAGAGAGTAAGCATGAGCATCTGAAAACACATCCCGCGAAAGCTGTCGCTGAAGATGGTGATCCCCCTCCAGGAAACGAAAATGAAGTTGAGAAGGAAACAACTTGCTCTTCCTCTGCTACTTCCGATGACTCGTCCGAGGATTTCTTCCAGTTTGATCCAGCTGAACTCAGCAAGTCAGTCGTGGCGAACGATCAAGAGATGAGAAGCCACTGTGGTGCAGCTACATCAAGCACGAACGGGTTCCTAATCCTCATCGATGATGACGATGAGGATAGCATCCTTGCAGAGGCCCAGCCGGTGGGTATAGCTGACACCGGTACCTCCTGCATGGTGGCTTCGAGACAGTCACCTCCAGTTCAGGTGATGGAGAGATTGGACGTCCCCGACACGGGTCGGATTCCCTCCCCCATCTTCACAAGGGACAGGTCCACGATGACGCCGATGGAGTGGAGCGTGGCCTCCAACGAGTCTTTGTTCAGCATCCATGTAGGGACTTGCAGCTTTTCCAGGGACCATCTCATTCTGATGGGCAGGTCAGGGGAGTTCACCCCCATCGACTCCGGTAGCCCTGTGGAATCCTGCCGACTGACGTCTGCCGTTCCAGGCTCAGATCCTGTAGGAAACGAGGGCGCCGGCGCCATGAAGGGTGCGGATCAGGAAGAGCAGCTTTATTCGACGAGTGAGGGTGCAAAACTGTCCACCAGACTATCTCACCGATCAGATATTGGCAGCGCATCCAGGTTTCAGTCGTTTGCGTTTCCAGTGTACGCTCTCCATGTCCATTACTCTCATTAGGGCAAATGTTTTAGATTATGAGAATTAGGATAAGGCTTTCATGTTGATAAGTCTCCATGCATATCGAGCGACTTCTAATCCTGCTGCTTATGTAGATACGTGCAAGTTTATGTGACATAAGAGATTTAGTTTGCTCCGGGTGCTTTGTCAATGAAAATGCTGAATATAAATGTGAAACAAAAAATGATGATACAGATTGACAGGTAAAGGAAGTAGTAGCTCAATGAAGATGGAACATGGGCATCCACTTCAGACTGATACACCAAAGGAGGAAGAAGCTGCTGCTGCAGGAGAGAATAAATGGTGTCCATGCTTTTCTTGTTGCTCATCCTGCTGCTGAGAGGGTAACAAATATAGCAAATCTCCATATTTGCAGTTTTTCCGGTGATGCAGCCTTCCATGTTGAATTGCGTTTTGTTTCAATCGTCCTGCAGCTTTCGCAAATGAAATTTTGTTCAGACAGAGAGAAGCGCATATGTTCATGGTCATCAGTTCCTCCACGTCTGTGCCTCGGAAGGCTCGGCATGATGAAGGAGGCCGTCTTTTGCTCGCCTGATGATAACGTATTATGCCTTTTTTTTTCTTTTTCTTTCTCTATCATAATGCAGATATGCACTAATTCTTTCAAAATTTAGTTATCTTCGAATGCTAATGCTGGATTTAGAGAAATCATTACTCAAAAAACTGGGTTTAAAGTTTGCTAAAGTCTGACGTGCATCCTTCCTGACATCGGTTCTGGCATCATGGTGCGCTATTCATCGCTCATCGAGGGTGCATCCTCCTCCTTAGGAGTAAAGCATACGGGTGAGTGAATTATCGACAAGAGGAACGAACATTTCTTTTCCCCGATCAATGTGCAGCAATTGCCTTTTTTCCTTCAGCATTTATGCGCACATTTCCAACACGGCGTCATTTGCCAGAGCAACCAACCCCACAGCGGAATGCAGGACTTGCAACTGAAGTCGGTCGGTCTTTTACCTACAGCACATACGAGGAGGCTCTCACAATCTGGCTAGAAGCAACGGGATTTGTGTTAACTTTGTAGCGAGCGCTGGCTTATTAAGTAACTTAAGCTCATAATGTGACAGGATTAATTTTTTTCATATTCCCGAGAGTTTGCGGCCTGGTTTTTGTCCAGTCGAAATCGAAGCTTTTAGCATTGCTTGATGTTTGGCGCACTTTTACAAGCAGCAAAACAAAACAGAATTTTAAATAGAAAAAAACAAAATGTAAAAAGACTTTAATAATAATTAAAGAAAAATACTTTTCATTCTAACCCAATTAGGTTGTATCAAATCTTCAACTGAACATGATCGGCTGTTGCTCTTTTTCATTATCATTCTTCAACAATAACTGATCACAAATATTATAAAGTCTTTCAATGTCGGAAATCTAAATTTAAGATTAAATAAGAAAAAAAATAAATATTTTTTTTTATTTTAAAATATGCTAAAACCTTTATAATTTTTATTCAAAATCACTCAAATTATTTTACACTTTATTTTATAAGACTTGAAAACATATAATAAACTAATGTAATTGATAATTATATTATTTTTAGTATAGTGGTCAAAACATTGTAACAAGTCAATTTTTAATGTCGAATCGAGTGATGTTGTTCTTAAACTATTATAAATATCTATTTGAGTTATAATATATCAAATGGTTTCTAGTGTGTTTTGATTTTATTAACTTATTTATAGTGTTTTCAAGTAAGTTTTGTAGTGTTCTTGTTGTTGTGGTGATCAAAATGCTATAATAGGCCAAAATACTGTAACAGACGAAAATTTTTTTAAACGTAGTTTGGGTATTTTTTTTTAATTAGGAGTTTTATTCGAATAAAAAATAAAATGGGACACCAATCGGGAAATACTCAAAATATAAATATTTTTAAGAAAAAATCATCCTAGAAACATGTTTGTATCATTGAAATGAGAATATAAATTGAGGATAAATAATCCAATATGACATGGATGTTTTCTAAGTTTACTTGCAAATGTTGTGGTTAACAACTTAGGACAATTAGTATTAGTGCATGAGAGACATAAGAAGACTAAAGAAAATTATATAAAAATAATAATAAATATATATATATATATATATCCTCTTGACTTATTAATTTTTACGAGTCTCAATAAAAAAACGTGTAGTCGATATCAAGTTGTTGGAATATTAGGGCTTGTGATGACCGGCAACGTCGTCTTTCTTTCCTCAAAGATCTTTCGAGGAATAAGATGTTATTTAGAACCGTCATTTCACGGATCATGCATAACAAGTAAATAATTTCCCAATTCCGTCGAGTCTATTATCACTACGAGCAGTAGATCGACATGTGCAGATCACATTAATACCTCTATTTTTTATTCCGCTCGGAGCAATCCTCATGTTCTCATTTCCACTTCACCTTTTGCACCAAGCATTTTGGTCTGTGGCACTCCAAGTATCCACTCAGCCTTTCCTTTCATTTCTAGCTTTATTTCTTTTCTGATCGCTTATATCCCATCAAAAACAAACCAAGAAGATGCACCGCATCACATGAAGACGACACCTGACTTTGTTAATGTGCTATAGTATAAAAAAGTTGCAAGGTGAGTTGTCATCGTGCGTGCTTAAAACAAAGTTTACCATCACATCAACTGGAGAGTGTTTAAAGGCCACAATATTCCATCTCGCAAGCAACAGACTTTTTAACTCAATTATTTGCCTCTCATAGGACGGCTCATGTATTTTGAGGCCAAATCATTTGGATGGTTCTCTCAAAGGATTACAAGGATAATTCTTCTTTTCACTGCAAACCACATCTTTCCAACGACCGAGGAGATGTCTGATATATCAGCTAGCTCTGTGCATAATTATTCAACCCATACATGTAACATTTTCTTCTTTTTTTTTGTTTAAATATACCAATTTTACAATGAATCTCAACTTTGGCTGCGCTGAGCATGTGCAAACACAGGCATATCACAAGCAATAAAGTGGGTATTGTCATTCGAGTCTCATCAATGATGGAGTAATTGGCATTTCTTGAAGCAAACTAGTGCATGACATTCTTCACAAGCAAATCAGCTGATTCCAGAGACTCGAGTAAATGGAGCTGATCCACTTCTGTGCCAACCCATATGTTCCCTTGGAAAAGAAGACAAACATTTGTAAAGCTTTACCAACACATTAACCTTCAGATTGAAGCTTCCAGTAACACGATCTACAAAAGGTGCGAAGCGCTTATCACATGAATGAGAAAACTCAGCTTTATGATAGAGAAGAAAGAAAGAGGAGAAACTTACGTGTCAACAATTGAAAGCAGTGAGGAAGATTGGCCCTTCAAAAACAAGGGAACCAGCGAGCTTGTGCACTTGTATTTGATATATATATATATATATATTTTAATATTTTTCTTTGAAGCTCATCAAAGGAACCATCACTGTTGTGCTGCGTGTCTTCAAAGCAAAACCAACTTGGAAGGCCACTTTCACCATCCATCACAGCTTTGCCACCTTTCTCCTCCTTTTATACCACACCTCTAATTTCTTCCTTGAATAATGCTTGATCAGGGGAATCTGCTCTGTTTTACAACCACTTGAAGAACTTACATTGACAAAACTGTTCCCTGAGACTGTTCCAGAATTTATGAGATGGGATCCTTCGGAATGTTTCCCGGTTTCCCAAGTTCAGCAATCCCTGAATCATCCTGCGGCTATCTACTGCAAGAGCTAAAGGTTTGGGTTGGGGTTTTTCCATATCAGTGGTTCTTGAAATTGATACTAGCTGAACTTTCTTTGAACATTTTATCAACTGCTAACAGCTGATTTGGGATGAAGTGGGGCAAGATCAGCTTGAAAGAGAGAGGATTCTGCTTGAACTGGAACAGGAATGTATCGACATGTATAGAAGAAAAGTTGATAGTGCAAATATCTTGAGAGTTCGTCTGCATCAAGCACTGGCTGATTCAGAAGCTGAGTTCACTAACCTTCTCCTGTCCCTCGGGGAACGATCATTCTCAGGCCGGGTGAGATATAGATGACTTCTTTTGATAGTATATTTAATAAGAAAAGAATAGCACCAAATGTGCAGCCAGCTTAAATTCTCTTGGAGCAGCCTGAAAAATTGACAGGTACACTGAAGCAGCAGCTTGATGCAATCACTCCTGCACTTCATGAAATGCAGCTAAGGAAAGAAGAGCGGATGAACCAGTTCCGGGAGGTTCAGACACAAATCCAAAGAATTGCTTCTGAAGTAGCAGGTCATCAACCGGATTGCAATGTTCTGGTAAACGAAGGAGATCTCTCACTTAAAAAGCTTGATGAGCACCAAAATGAACTCCAAAGACTTCATAAAGAGAAGGTAGCTTTAACCTTGGTAGCGTCGGTTTTCTTCTATATATCATCCAATTAATTTTCACCCATTCTTCACTCTGAAAGAATGATAGACTCCGGAAAGTAGAAGATTACATAAAGGTGGTGCAAAACCTTGCTGAAACAATGGGAATGGATGCTTCCATGATCATCAGTGACATTCACCCAAGCTTACTAGGTGGTTCAACCGCACAGCAATCCAGGAACATAAGTGACACCATCTTAGAGAGATTAAACAGCAAAGTGGAACAACTGAAAGATGAGAAGCGTAAGCGAACAGAAAAGGTATGAGTTTATTTTCCAACATAGGTCCATTGCTACAACTAAATCTCAGAACCAGGAATAACAAAAAATGAATGTGTACAGAATTGCTGTTTCTAAATGCATCACAAAGCACCCTACATTACCAAGTTATGCACTTCATAAAGCATGTCTCACCAAAGAAAAGAATTTGAATAAATATAATTACTCATATCGTAGAAAGATTCATAGGTTGGCCATATACATCAAACCTATTCAAGAAATACAAAACAGGATACCATAAAGCTGATCATAGATCATAGAATCATGCTAGAAAGTAAACACAAGGGGGTTCCAGGGTCATAGCATCATGCTTGAGAGACATCCCCTTGAGCCATCCACCAGTATGCCATCTCTTAGTTTAACAAAAATTAACACCTAGCTTATTCACCATAAGTGACCAGATGGGCTTACCAAACTAGTGATAATGTAAACCAGATTATCACTTTCAAGCTCACAAAGATACACCTCGTGCTCCATAAACTTACACAAGCAAGATATTCAGAGGCAGGTAAACAGCAATTCAAGAGATCTTGATTGTACAAGTTGGATGAATGCTATGCACCAATGTAATATTAGTAGAATTATAAGCATAATAATAGGAAGATTTAGACAAATATTTTCCATATCTGACACTAGCATCCTTTGCAACAAAAGAAAAGTACACTAACATCCACAAATTTTGAACTTCCAAATATAATAAGTTTGCAGTTTTTATTTATTTTGTGTGAGAAAAATTGAATTTTTATTAGGATATTAGGAGTTAACCCATGGTTGAACCTTAGTTGGACATTGATCACCCATGAAAATAGAGCCATTTTCTGGATTGAGTTTAACTGCCACAAATTTTGAAATGAGCCTCTCTCACATATAATTTAGTAAATTAATCCCCAGACAGTTATACCAGACATTAAAAGCAAAATGATTCGTATTATACATGTTTAACAAATGTAATTAGGCTACAGAACTGCTGCAATAGAGTCAATGATGTTTCAAGATTAAGAATTGGTGATTTTATGACAATGCTCACAACATTAGGAAAGATGATTATTGAATTAGAAAAGACAGCACAATATTGGAAAAACAAGAGATGCAACAGGAAAATATAAAACGAGCCTCTAAGTGCTCTTTAATTAGTTTCAAACAAATACTACCTTATGAACTAAACAGAGGATGCAGATATCTTTTATGCATCAGCATTATTGTTGCACCTTTTGTACACTTTGCATCAACTCCACTAAAACTACAGATACAATGATTTTGCAGCTTTACAAGCTTGGGAAAGCATTGACAAACTTGTGGAATCTCATGGATACATCGATTGAGGACCGGCAGAAGTTCTATTACATGAATATATATACGTCATCAGCTCCAACAGATCACATATTAAGACCAGGAAGCCTTTCCATTGATATAATCCATCAGGTAAAGAAAGAATTAAGCTAAGAAATCAAACTTCAGATAAAGCATTTCCTTTTCTGTATTAAAAAGACAAATTAGGTAGTCTATAATGGTTCCTTAACTGACACTGCTGCTACAGATAAAGCATTTCCTTTTCTGTTTTAAAAAGACAAATTAGTAGTCTATAATGGTTCCTTAACTGACACTGCTGCTCTGACTACAATCCAGGTTGAGTCCGAAGTGGAGAGACTGGATCAGCTAAAAGCAAGCAAAATGAAAGAGCTTTTTCTCAAAAAGCTCAGTGAGCTTCGAGAAATATGCAAGAAATCTCATTTGGAAGTACCTTCAGGATCAGAGATGGACAAAATCATGAACCTCATCATGTCAGGTGTGCCTCTTGCTTCAGTTAGATGCATCATTAAATGATTCTTAATGGTAGCTGAACTTATTGACACTCAACAAAACCTTGAACCAAAGGTGAGATGGACCATGCTGACCTCCTAGTGATTATGGAAGAGCATATATCCCAGGCAAAAGAAGAAGCACGCAGCCGGAAGGACATTATGGAGAAGGTCGAAAAATGGATGGCTTCATGTGAAGAAGAACAGTGGTTGGAAGAATACAGCAAGGTCATCTCCAAATTCATCAACTCATATGTCAAAGCTTACAATTCTATTAAATATTGCTGATGAGGAATCCTAATTTTGACATATGGATGTTTGCAGGATGAAAACCGTTACTCAGTGAGCAGAGGGGCTCACAAGAACTTGAAACGTGCAGAACGTGCTAGAATTATTGTGAACAAGATTCCAGGTAAGAATTGACTATAGCTAAATAAGAAATATGATGTATGATAGACTAAAACGAGAAAATGCAGATTTGGTTGAATTGTTGATGGCAAAGACAGAGATATGGGAAGAGGAAAGGATGAAAAATTTCTTGTACGATAAGGTTAGGCAAGAACCTATTGCTTTAATACATTTATGAATTTATCCAAATATTATCTTTTTCATCATTGTTCTACCGGAATAAGTACCATATTTAAGTTCACATTTTACTTCAAAATATTCTGCTAGAAGGATGCAAAATGATGCTCAAGAAGACTTGTTCTGGGAAAAAAAATACCAAAGACAAACTTAAATGCAATTAATTAGTTTTTGTTTCCTTTCTCATGATAGCATAGCCACCACTTTTACTGATGAGCATGCAAATTTAAGCAATTAAATGACTTTAATAACTTGCAAAGGACATTTTATAGATCAAGTTTTGCAACTTGCAGAATCATGCATGCAAGGATCAAGTATCATAAAACCTATTATCTTCTTGTTGCAAAGCCTATAAGCATCTAAGACAGCAAAATAAATTAACCACTAAAGTTCAAACATGAAAGCTAAGCTAGCTACCCTTGAAGTAGATGCATAATTTTGTAATATGATCAAACATATATTCAATTATGATTTCAAGTATTGGTCGTTACTGTGCTTGATTTCAAGTATGGTCTGTATGCACCAGACCAACCAGTATTTATTGGTATGATCAAGGACCGGTGTCAGACCATATATCTCAATAATGTTCAGGTTTTTTTTTGGGTGATACCAGGCTGTATGGGTGGCATTTCACCTAGTACATACTGGTACTGTACCATTCTAGTAACTGAGATTTAAACCCTTGTATCCAAATAATTAAATTTTCTGTTTTTTTAACCAAAATGGACTAAGAACTTTACATGAAATATACCTGACATCTACATAAATGGGTTGCATGAAATAAATCCCAGCTTGGTAGCATAACCTCGCTGATATGGATTTACCACAACATGCTCCACACCTGCCGCAAATTTCTTTTTTCTTTTTCCTTCCTTTCTATGTGCAAGACAAGCTAACAAAACCATGTCGATCTGATTCTCTCACTTAATTTCTGCAAAAGCAAAGCAAATCAAATCAAGATATTCTCTTTTATAAACGTCTTGCTTTTTTCTTTCTCCTAAATTAGTTGCTGCTAGCACAGCATATGTTTCCAGCCTACATGAGCATGCAAGACCAAGATATTGCTCACCTAAGGAAAAAGAAGAGATGAAATTATCCCATGTTCAGATATCGGATTGTACGGAGATATCATTTCCAGTTGGAAATGCAACATTCTTTCGTAGGACCCTTTTAAGGAAAAAAGTTTAATTTAGCAGTTAATAGAGACAGTTGCTGCCTTGATGCTGCAGTTGCATAAATTCACCTCAGAGATTTTACAACAACAAAATTACCAGGAAAACATTGTTGTCATTGAGGTATTATGGAAAACTGTAGACTTATAGAACAAGCGATGAAATTTAAGTTCCTGAACTGAACTAGGAAAAGAGGATTTGTCAACATATAGGATAACTTCCATATACAAGACCAAAATGCTTATACAAAATTAAAGCCCAATCATCACATTTGTCATTAACACCATGATTGCATTACCTACCATTTGACAGAGTGGAAGGGATATATGGAGAAAAAAAAGAGAAGAATAAAGAATAATCTTAGATATCTTGTAATAAGATTCAGAACTAATCCAACAGTTTTCTCTTGATTTGTTATGATATATTTTGGATCTTTTATATGATTTATATAATTGTTATTTATTATAAGAGTCTTGTACAATATGATTGACATTTATTTTCTAAAAATATATACAATTGTTATTTCTAATGAATTATTCTCTAGCATTTTCATTATTATTTTTTCAACAACTTCTTATATTTTATATAATAGTTTCATATGTTTTTTGGGAAAGACAGACACGTTATGAATTATGATGTTAAAGAGGTTTCTTAACAAAAAATATATTTATTTTCTCATAATTTATTTTGTGTTTTGTGGTGCCCTACCATTTATATTATATATAATTCTTATAATTTTATGATTACTAAATTATTTTTTCATCCGAGTTCATTCCCATCATTCTAATTCGATCGATCCCAAGGCCTGATCATATCATCCCAGCCAATTCAAATCTGCTTTCAATCTTACAACTTATGTGCAAGAGCACATGTAGTGGTACCCAATAGCCTACGAGTCTCATGCAGTGTCAACGCAAGTTGAATCAAAGGCTAATCCTGAATACAAACCATAAAATAGTCCTCTCCAAGAATTTAAATACCGAACAACTTACCCTTGAATAACCATTCCCGTTGTTGACATGCACCATATAGATGTCAAGGCAAGTTGTTAACATAGACAGTTTCTGGTAATCATTAGGTGAAAGAGAAAGAAAAAAGACCGATATGGAGAGGCAAAATGTGAAAGCATAGTTGGGCCCTGGTGCTGCTGCTAACATAGATAGTTGCTGGGACTTATTCGGTGAAAGAGAAAGAAAAAAAGACTGATATAGAAAGGAAAAATGTGAGCACAGTTGGATCAATAACTCTGATAGTTGACAGAGAATCTTTGAAGTAGTGAAGTTCAAGAAGAAGGCTGACATGAATAAATACTCATGTTAGCTTTCCTGCTTAGTTGTTATCTTGCTCGAGTTTGATGGGCTTTACAATGTGAATGGCACTGAGAGAAAACCTAGGAACAAGATCTTGGTTTGGATTTTGTCAAATGACTCCATCCAGTGTGATGTTGAAGAGGTTTCACACAGTTAAATATGTGTTGCACCTCAGTGATGCACGTCAGTTTGGTTCTCATTTTTCACATGAATAATATATCAGTCCTAGCAATCCTTGGCACCTCTTTCACAAAAATCCATGCTTTCCTCCACATAGAGAAATACACTAATCTTTACATAACATATCATAAATTTAACGTTCACTTTGCTCTACAGAGACATTTGAAACATACTTTAAGCTTGTAAGCAGGACATAAAGTATGCTTTTTATCAGTCAATTGAATAATCAATTCAGAAACTATACTTTGATTTCTTTTATGTATCATGCACAGTCAATTTCTGTAACAAATTCATTTTTTCTTTCTATAAACTTCCATAAACCAATCAAAATTGTGGTAATTTCAGGCACCAAACCAACAAACTACACACTATGATATCATATGTATCTTTTATTAATACCTAAGACTTCTATTATCTCATACTACAACTAAAAGAAATGCAACTGAAATTTTTCATCCCATATATAATCAATCTTTATAAAATTACAGGTACCTCTAATGGCAATGCTTAAAGAGTACACTCTGTTAAAGCAAGAAAAAGAGGAGGAGAAACAAAGGCAAAGAGTAAGTTCTAGTGCAATTCGATGAAGGATACAAGAATATCTAAAGAAGTTCTGCAAAGGATTGTTCTGAAGAGCAAACAATTTTTAACCCCTTGTTTAGATGATTTGTTCCGGATTGTCAATAACATCTTTTCTCTCTGCAGGAAAGAAAAAAAGTGCAAACTCAGATTACAGCAGAACATGAGAATTCATTTGGCTCAAGGCCAAACACAAGCACTACTCGTCCTTCCAACAAGATTCTAAATAGCAGTTTCGTCAGTGGTCCTTCGAGCAGGAGACTGTCCATCATCAGCCAACACCAAAGGTCAAAGAACAATTATGCAAATAAAGGAGCAAACTTAAACAAAGGGAGTATAAAGTTGCAAACGCGGAAGATATTAAGCAATTATAGCCATGCCCCTAATTCTAAAGAAGATGCAGCATCAGAGATCTCTATAACATTTTCAGGCTGAAATCATGACTCTTCATTCGATATTAAACAATGTAAAGAATCATAAGATCAGGCAATCAATGTGTGAATGGAATGGTACAGTTTTTGGATAAAACACAAGCATGACATTGTATAACCACTATTATGATATATTTGATCTTACATCCTGCTAAAAGAACCATACTTCACCGAGTTCTTCGAGAAAGCAGTAATTGCGGAAGAGCTGGACTGCGGACTGTAATTCAAGGTTTAAAATTTTGTTATCTGGTGTCAATACCGATAAGCGGCCAAACTAGTACGCTTTCGATACAGATCAATATCCTGACACTCGGTATGGACCGATGCTTTCCAGACCAAGAAAGGGGGGAAAAGGAGCGAGGAGGACTTGCATAGGGGCAGGAATATGTGGAGCGGAGAAGGAAGATGAGACGGGGTAGGAGGAAGAGATAAAGAAAGGCAGAGAAGAAGGAAGAGGAATATGAGGTGTAGGTGGAGGTGGAGGCGGAGGCATATCGGAGGTGAAAGAGGAAGCAGCGACCAGACGATTCACTGGGGGCGGTGAACGAGGCGTTGACAAGAAGCAAACGAGTCTGGGTAAGAGACAGAAGAGAGAATATATATATATATATCTTCTTAAAATTTCTTTTTATCCAAGTTCAAAAAAAATTTCAATCATTTATAGTATTTTAAAAATATTATCTAGAGTTTTAAAAATATTATATAGCATTTTTTTAAAACACTATATGGTGTTTTTTTTAAACACTTTACAATGTTTTTAAAACACTATACAATGTTTTATGGATAAAAAAATAACCCACAAAATATTATAAATAAGGGCGATGGTTTAAAACTTTTGAAAAGGGAATACTCTGAAAAAAAAAACTCAAAAAAAGAAATTTTTCTCATACAATCACCCATATATATATAATATGTATATGTACGGGTTTGTTGGGCTAACTGGCCTATCTAAACCACTGACCAAAATGCTTAAGTCGAAGTTGATAATAGTATACTCATCAGACCCTTATAAGTCAATCTTAGTCTTGCCTACTTTCGATGTGGGACTAATCAGGGATGTTATAATTTATATATGTATATATATGTATATGTATATGTATATATATATATGTATTGTATATGTATGTATATGTATATATTAGTTTTTATCTCTATTTTAATTTTTTTCAGCAAAGTAGTTCTGTTTTAAGCCAACACTAGATAAGTTTAAAATAAATAAAAAAGATAATTACGTAATATCAATATATATTAATAAAAATAATTTTTTTTATATAAAGTATTAATACATAAAATTTAAAATAATAATCATGAAGAAAATTAAAAATAAAATAAAAATCATATAATTATTGTAGAAATATAATATAATATTATTTAAAATTTCTTTAAAATAATTTTTGAATGAACTAATGAATATTAAATATTAGTTATATATAGTTTGATAACTAAAACTAGAAAATGGACTTGATTCGATAGAAATATCGAATAGTTAAAGATATAATTGACAACTAATCATGATCGTAAGAGATGTAATAATTTTTTAGAAAATATAATAAAAAGTTATATAGCTATGTGAAAGTACTATGATTCATCTTGGGTTTGACTTTCTACAAATCTGATTTATCTCAGATTTGGACGTGACAATATCTACCTTATTTTCTCTTGATTCAGATCCACTCCTCCTCTCGATCGTCTCCTCTCCATATCTACGCCTCTTAGTGATCAATAGTGTTTGAAGGTGAATTTCCAAACACTATTGAGTTCGAGCTAGGAGACACCATCTCAGCAGAAGGAGTTAAGATAGGGTTCGAGATCTTGCTATCAGAATTTAGGTCAGGATTCACTGCACCAACCTTACGGGACGAGCCCGAGTTAGAGGGGTTGAGAGTTGGTCTTAGTTACCTAGCTTGACGAGGGGCCTAACCCATTAAGTGACTCTTATGTCCCTTGGCTTTTGTTCGATCCGAACCTTAGGTTCGAAGGTTGATTTTATAACTGTTCTCTTAAGCTATTTGTAGGTTCCCCTTGTGCATCGATCATCTCATAAGTGCCAGAGCTTGAGGTGATCGAGGGACAAAAATCTGACGAGTGCTCCCCCACTCCACAACGATAGTATATATTCAAAATATTTTTATACGTTATGGTTTGGAAGAATATGGAGGTCCCCTGTTTGATCCAGTAGTCATGCAACAAAAGTTTACTAAAGTCAATTAGAACACAGATTTCGGCAAAATTTATCTCGGCGAGAGTAATCTCGTCTATTTTGATGACTCTTCCGCTCCTAGGATCAATTTTGTTGAGAATTTTGGAGTTAAAGGAGTTCAAGTGGAAGGGAAGGAAGTCGCATCCAAATTGGTGCAATTTCGATCCTCTCTTTCAATGGTTGGAAGTTGTCCTTCCGGGGGAGGAGAATGAGCGCCTATCCTCCAACAAACCAGAGTCCATTAGAGAGGATGTCGATCATTTCCTCCTTGGTGGTTAACTTGAACCAGAAAAAGCTGGACATCATATATACAATTTGGACCCCTTGGGAGAGCTTCAAATAGGGAAGCATAGATCGGAGAAGCTCCAATGGGGAGTCCTCAGAAGGAACTTGCCATGGATATAGAATCGCCGGTCCTCCCAGGCTGAGGAAACTTTCAAAGGAACAAGTTCCACCATCAGTTTAGCACTTTCTTGAATGTGTTGTGGGGTCTATTCACGTTGACCCTTAGAGCCATCCCGTGAATCCTTGAAGAGATTAGTCTAAGTCGTCAAAAAAGGCAAAACCGACATAGAAGAGCCTCGAGTGGGCGGAGTCGAGGAACGTGAGTGACCATGAGAATATAGTGAGACTTTGTTCGGGGGCTCAGGTTGAGGGGAAATCGAGGAACTCTTGGAGGAGGAGGAGGAGGAAGGTGCACGTTGTCACCCATCCTGCCGCTTCTTGCCTCTTTTGAGGTGGAGTTAAATGAACCCCAAACCAAGCCTTGATTCACTGAGCCGGTGTCCACATTGCTTTGTCCACCAGTGTCACTCTCTCTCTTAGATAACTCCACTTGGTGGAGTTGACACCCCTATCATCCTGCCGCTTCTCGACCAATCTCTCTCTTTCTCTCTCTCAGAAGAGTCAAATGAACCATGAATCGATTCACCAAGCCGGTGTCCACATTGCTCTGTCAACCAATCTCTCTCTCTCAGATAACTCCACTTGGTGGAGTTGACTCCCCTATCATCCCCAACTCCACATGCTGACTCTTGCTAGTGCTGACTCCGACGAGGATACGACAGCGTACGTGGGGAGTTTTATGTCTTTTAAACTGCATTCTCTTTCTTCCGATGAAAAGCAAAAACAAAGGAACAAGCTTGGTCGATCAATTTTACACTGACATGGGACCTCCAATTAGTGACTCGAAGATTTCATTAAAGAGCATCATTCTTTGCGGCAGCGTAGATCATGGTGATATGGATCATGATGTCGAGGAGTCGGAGTTGATTTGTTGTTCACGGAGATGAGCCCAACACAGCAATGACTTGAAATCGAAGTCGTGTCATGCTTTTTTTTTTGAAAAACATAATATACAAGATAAAGTGCAAGTCTGGTAATTCAGCTTCGAAGTAGAACGACTGAAGGAAAGAAGGATTTCAAATCAACCAAAAAAACACTCAGCCTTTTATAATATTGCAGGCGGAATAAAATGGAAAAACCAGCCTTAACAGAGAAGAGTTAAAAGTGGTAAAATCTCTGCCCTCTGTCAGTCGGCGCCTACGCCTCCTCAATCACGACGGCGTCATCGTCTCCGGCGGCCGCGCCGGCGCCGACGCCGCCATCGAAAGCCTGTGGATTCATCGGGAAGCACTCCGCCTTGTGCGACAGCTTCCAATCCAGAGCTTGACATGCCCTCGAGCAGTAATTGACTAAGCCGCACACCGAACAACGCCGAAACTCGTGCCTGCGTGTCTCAGGCCGCCCGCAGCCGCGGTGGGAGCAGAGCCTCAGACCCTCCGCCGCCGACCCTGCCCTCGCCTCGAACCATTCCTTCAGGAACTGGTTGGCTGGATGCGGCTCCGGCGCCGGCAAATTCCAACCGTAGTCGCTGAGGAGGGGGCAGCACCCTGGTAGCGTTTCACCCGCCACCGTGACCCCCGCTGCTGTGGGCGGGCGACGCTGCTTCTGCCATGCAGGCAAGAACGAGATGGCGGCCGCGAGCTCCCGGGCGTTGGCCTGGACTAATAAGCGGCGGCCCTCGGAGACGTTCTTACGGACGCCATAGCCGTCCTGGAGGCAGTGCCCGAGCTCTCGCAGGGCGTCAACGTGGCCGTGAAAAGCCGCACGGGCGCACAGGGCAACGCCAGCCCGGGGATCCTTGTCATTCTTCGACCCTCCGCTGCCATTGAATTGGATTACCGCCAACGAGTACAGCGCTGCCGGGTTCGATCCGATGGCCGCCCTAGCCATCAACGACGCGCCGCTCCCTCTTTTCTCCAGAGCGTAAAATCTTATCTGATCCCATAAAAAATCAATTCTTAAGCAAACTCGAAGATTTCTTCAGTCGAACGAGCAAGCGCACGAGCCCTACCATTCCCAACATGTAGCAGGCATCAAGATTTCCGCAGTCTACACAACGCTTGAGGTATCCATGAGACGAATCGGACCACGTCTTCGCACTAACAGCGAGGCATCTGGAGCTGGCCATAGACAAAACCAGCGGATGTTGCCCCAGAACATGAAACCGCTTACACCTGTTGCAGATACCCGAAAAGAATATATTTTTACTCACAGTACCCAGGAAAGATCCAATCTTCAGAGGATTAATGCTTAAAACCACATTAAAAAAACTCTCTATTTTATAAAACAGGGCGACATTAGTGTTCGTACGTCAACATGGAGCTGAAAAGATCCGAAGGACTATCAGCGGAGGAGCTGAGCTTGGAAAGCACGGACACAATGATGTCATCCGGCAGCCTTTTGAAGTAATCGACCCTCTCCTCCTTTGCCGGCAACTCCGTCGCTGCAACCCGCGGCCGTTTCCGGCAGCACGATCCGGCTTCTCCTTGCCCCGTCGGTGTTCTCTTCCTCTCCGCCCTCCGAACTCCTCTGTCGCCCATCTGTGGTTGGGGTCTCAGGCATTGCGAAGCCATTGTACGTATGCGTCGCTGGCTCGGCCGCGCTGCGATGTTATTGTGGGGAAGACCAACCCCGAGACGGGAGGGCACCCTGAAGTCTGAATAGGAGAAAGAAAGGCAAGAAGCTATTTATTCGTAATCAAAATGCAAATCTGACGAACACACTCTTGCTATATTTTGCCTTTTCCCATTTAGGTTAACTTTTACACCGAGGCCTACGCTCGGACGCCGCTTAACCCAACGGTTTTCTGTGGACGATCCATTTTGGGACTCCCGCAGACTCAACTTGAACGTCCGAATGCTATTACCATGCACGAAAACTAGGTATTTGGTCACGTGCAATATAATCTACCTAGCGAAACAAATTACTATTAGAATCGACAATTAGTTTAAGGAAATAAAGTTGGTGAATAGGATCATACACAACTCGAATTACAATTGGATTCTGGTCTTAAACTCGTTACCATCTTAGGATTTTAACTTTCTTATGATTATATCCATATAATTTATCACACATCACTCTCTGTTTAGTACTAGTGAGGGCTAACTTTCAGGAAATCATTCTACCCACTATATTTAAGATGTGGTAGTTAGAATTATAAGGGTTGGACAAAAAAGTCTGTCAATTTTGATTGAGGTCAATTTTGGGCCCTCAACATATTAATAGACAAACAGACCACTCCGTTCTTGAGTTAGTCTTCTACTTAATGTTAGTGATAGCTTAAAAAAGTTCCTCATAATTCTAAATTTGAAACGACAATTATAGCGAAAGAAGATTTAAGACGTTTTAATGAACTCAAATGCGAGATACATGACCATACTTTTTACTCTCAGAGAAAAATTGGTTGGGTTTACTATATCTAGGCAGTGTACGATCCTCCTTTATCAGTGGTCAATGCGTAGCACAAGCTTTCCATTCTTAGTAGGAGGTCGTTGGGTTTCACATGCTTCTCGTGGAAGGCATGGGAATTTGCTGATTTGTATTACTAAAAAAAAAATGATGCCTCACCTAAAACGCACAAGTTATTAGGAAAAATCATTTTAACATGTACCTCACATTTTCATACTTTTTTATAATCCTTACCATTTTCAAATATCGACAATGATCTTATAGCATTTTTCAAATAAACTTATCATATTTTATTTTATCGAACTCGTTTTGAATAATTTTGAATGAAAATTAGGATTATTTTGATATATTTTATACTAAAAGATAATGTCATAATCATAAATTTAGGTTAAATAGCTGAGAAACTTTATAATATTTGTGTTTATTTATTATAAAAATAATAGCAATAAAGGATAAAATATTATCCAATTACATTATTTTTAATATATATTTCTGCTACTGTACCAAAACCTCAACCATGATATGTAATTAGATAGAGTTTTTGAAACAGTGTATTACAAACATTGTACCCACACATTAATTAGTTCAAATCTCCACAAACCTTGATTATCAATCTTATTATAAATTTTGATATTTTATATAATGAATTGTATGAGTTTATAGACTCCTCAAAGATAGTTATTGTATTTCAACAACCTTGATGATCATAAGAAAACATCTAATTTCCTATCAAAAAGCCTGAAAGTTAAACGATAGCATCCAAGCGAACAAAGAGTACACAATATTAGTGATAATAACATGACCAGAGCGCGTTAAAAAACCTGAGCTCTTGGGACAGCATCGATGCGAGATATGAGGATCAATGTACGTAATCTTTCCTCTAAATACAAAGAGATTATTTCTATAATAATTTATATATTTCTAGTATAATTTTTTCATATCTCCCTCCATCTTTGTGACGCAAGCATTTCATGTATGTTGATTCTTGATTATCCACAATTAAATCCAGAACTTAATAAGATATAGCCTGCAATAAAGAGAGATAGAAGCCATTAAACATTCTCCATGAACCATTTCAAGGCACGAAAGAGATGAAGATTTAACAAGTCTTTGAACCATTTGAAGACAGTCCACGAACACGTAGTTCCCAATTGATGATTTTTGGTAATTCAAAATTTGTGATCTGTCCAAAATTCTAATAATTTTTCGTTATGGAATTTGAACCAATTGATCACAAATATAACTCAGTACAAAAAAATAATTCAGAAGAAATTGGGGCTGCAGGTCGTTGGTCATCGAACACCAACCGCCGGTCACCATCGATTGCCGATCATCCATGGTGCAGACCTCATGGTAGTAAGGTATTGGTCATGTCATTATTCTCACGTCATAAACTAAAACTCGAGCAACCTATAATCATTCTATCACTTGGGCTAAAAAAACATCTTTACTAATCCAAATTCCACATTGTTATGATTTCTCCTCTCAAACATCATGTACCTCTACGGTAAAAAAATTAATAATTCTGATAAATAATGATATTCTTAGCATGATGAATTGTATTCAACATAAAAAAAGGTATAATCGCTTAGAAATAAGATACAGAAATCAAAGAAAGACTAGTTGAGTATCTCATCGTTTGCTTGAGAGGTCATTTCTATTAAAAGAGAATTTAATTCATAATTTAATATGACAATATATGGAATAGTTAAAATTAATTATTTAATTAATAAGTTAAAAATTTTCATGATTAGACATTTAATTTTAGTGGACATCATCCTCAATCTCCTATTTATGGATTGGCTGAACCCTCTCTATATTGTGCCAGGGTGATCTATAAGAGAGGTAGTTCCTAAACTTTTTAATTTTTATTTAATATAATAAATTTTATAATTATGGGATTTAAAAGTTATATAAACATGTTTACATTAATTATGATTTTTTTGAATTTTAGACAAGTTATTTGATATTTTTCGATTTAAATATAGGAGATAAAGTGTTGATCAATCATTACAAAACTAGGATTGGATTAAAATAATAATAAAACGTTGTATTTATGATAATATATATGACGTACAATTATTTTATAAAATTTTATTCGAATTATTCATGTTTTATCAAAATTTTAATTCAAAAATATGAATTTATTAAAAAACTTGAATTCATGAAAAATAGGAGTACATTTATGTTTGATATTTTTTGGTCAAATAATATCATGAAAAATAGGAGTCAGATTCACCTCAAGTTAGACCTATTTTGATGGGATTAACCATTGCAGAACGATCGACCAAGCACATCCTTTGTGGCCTAGCGATTGGTGGGTCAACGCACATGCCATGCATGAGATGACTCAATAGGTCACCACCTAAATGTAGAAGCATAACAAAACGACAATCGATTGCTCTAACTTGATACGACCCAATTCAGCACAACCCCGTGTAACCCCTTTTCTTAGCACGAGCCAACGAAGCTTACCGCCAAAGGACTAGGCAAGTTTCGTATCTTAGCACGAGCCGACGAAACTTATCGCCAAAGGACTAGGCAAGGCTCGTATCTACTCACATATATGGTCCAATATCACAATCCCCTTTGGCTTATTCCTTCATATTTTCATTTTTCCTCTCGTAACAATGATGGGAGGATCAAAATAAGGCCCGATCTCCTACTCATGTTGCTTCTCACTTCCTACTCATGTTGCTCCTCACTTTCCTCCTCCCCTTCCCATTACCACAAGAACTCCATTTTCAAGCATGTTCAAGGATCAGTGATTTAAAAAGCACTAGGTACCAAAAGATACCAAGGTCCAAAAATACCTTAGGCGCTCGCCCGAGCGAAGCAGGACACTTTGAAACATAAAAAATATAAAAAATATATAATATAAATGATAATATATAATTATATAAATAAAAAGATAATATTAAATTACTATTACTAGTAGTTAGAGGGGTAAAAGAGGGAGAAAAAGTCACTCACAGTGGAACTTTCAAATGATAGTAGTGGCTATAGAGGAAGTTGCAGACGACAATAGTGGCAACGATAAAAGTTGCGGATAACGACGTCGTGGGTGGAGGAAGCTTCAAAGGTGTCCGTTGATGGCGGAGGAAGCTACGATCCTCTCCCTCGAAGGTGGAAGGAGTTGCACACGGAAGTAACAACGATGGAAGGAAGTAGCGGACGAAGGCTAAGCCATCCGACCCGTTCGTCAATGATAAAGGAAGCCTCGATCCGCTATGTTTGCAACGGAGGCAGCTACATAAAGCATTGAAGACTAAGGCAAAAGCTACACTAAGGTTGATGGATCAGGGTCACATAGGGGTGCGGGGGTGGCTTTTACGAGTAAGAAAGTGGCTAGTTGGTTCAATCGAACCAACTAGCCACTATTGTACTAAACGAGACTTAAAAGTCTAGTTTGGTTGCTTCATTTGAATTGCATACTCGCCCGAGGCAACCAATGCCGAGGTTCAAGCGAGCTCTTAGGTGACGCCTCATTGAAGTGCATCGCCTGGTTTACCCTTGAGGTGCTCGGGTCTGGCCCCCTCTTAACTGAGCACCTAAGTGAGCACCCAGGCACCTATTTAAACCACTGTGAAGGACTCCCTCAAATCACCATTATTGGACAGGGCTTATGGTTGATGGCTTCATCATCATCGTGCTCGATGTCCTTGAGCTCCACTGTGGAGGAGCCGACGGAGACGTAGATATGGGCCACAATGAACTTTTACAAGGTGATAGCGAGGGCTGAGGGGGGAAGGGGAAGATAACAATCAATGAGCAGAAGCTCATCCTTGTGTCTCCATCGAGATGTTGGTGGTGCCATTCATGGCAGATATAAGGAGTTTAAAGATAAACAAAGGTATACAACATATGGAGTGAGGAAACCCTTTTCTAAAGCCCAAACCTCATGGGTGCAGTAACTATAATCTCGGAGGTAAGAAAGGAGCGACGAATGACTTCTCATAAGCTAGCTTTATGTGTATATATTCATGGGTGCCTTAATAGCAACCTTGAAAGCTAGAAAGGCGAGTATAGTTTCTTTAAAGTTGACATTTTGTGTATATATTTATATCTCAATATGATATGTTTATCAGATCCACTTTTGAAATTTCTCCCATGACAAGGTATGCTAATTCACCATATGCTATTAGTGCATCAATGTGATGATGGT